GGGAACCCCAAACCCCAACAAAGGGGTGAGAAAGGGCACCTAGCTGGGGCAGTCTGGCTGATGCCGGGAATCCGCCCGGTCTCCGAAGGCGACCAGAGTTCGGAGCTTGGCTTCGGTCCGCGGTGTCCAGTCGCACAAAAGCCCCCCTGACTTCAACATGGGCCCGCGGTCCAAGAGAAACGGACCATGGCCTTTCAACCAATGTCGCTGTCTTGGAACTTGGGGCCCCTTCTGTTTGTCAGTTCTGACGGGAAACGTGGTCAAATCGGAGGTCCATTCAACGAGCTCAAGACGAGGGTCGAGCCTCCCAGCAGCGCCGCTGGGTTCTTCATATCCATCCCTGTTGAGCCCGTCTTGCTTCCCTTTTGGCTTTGACAAGCATTGGTAATTTTAGTCTCACTTGCGCAAAGGACCTGGAAATGGACGGCTGATCCTTCCGGACAGCTTTGGGCAGGGATATGTTCGTAGGTTATGCTTCGCATCCCGCTACACATTAGCAGAACCAGGAACGACCAACGACCTTCCATTTCTGCAGCTTAATATTTCAAGTACTAAATAGATTCCCTTTCAACCCAGGCAAAGATCAAACATACGCATTTCAGCAAATGGAAGCGACTTGAGGTGTATCGCGAGTTGGTTTTCCTCCGCGCCTTGATGTGCTTGGCCGTGGACGCTGCGATGTCGTAGACCCGCTTCATGAGCAGGCTGCAGATGTCGTTGTCCTCACACGGAAGTTTTTTGGAGACGAACGGGAGATTGGAACGGTGGGGCCTTTGGGTGTGGCTCGAAAAATTGCAAAGGGGTAGGGTGAATTTCGCGGGTTTCAGTCCGTTCCATTTACTTCAAGGTGATCCATTTTGGTACATGTATTTGAGCCAGAGCCCTTTCTGAACAGTAAAGAGATGGGGAATCAACCGCGAGGTATGGTCATTTATTGGTTCCCCCGGAAGCATGAGAATTTGGGAAGTAACTCCTATTCCCTAATGGGCACTTTCTGCACGCACCGAAACTCCCTTTCCTTTAGGCTATCCAAAACACATATTGACCGTTCATAGCCCACTGCCCCACTGAATGAAAATTGCCCTCGGACCTGCAAACCTAGGTCCTCCAGTAGAGAGATTAGAATAAGGGCACCCTTTTTTCCTTTTTGTCTATTTTCGTAGGGGAACCCTCCCCAACCAAAAAAGAAACGGTAAAAGTTGGCACTACTGGAGGACCTAGAAATCAACCGGCTTCGACTCAAAACTCGCCCAGCCCGCCAGGGTTGCTCTCAGTGGGCCGAGAAAGGCAAGCCAAAGCACCGCGAGTTTCTAGCCTCGGGTGGTCAAATTCTTGACGTGCCTCAGCTTTTGCAATAAAACCCAAGCAAATACGTGGGAAACAAAAAAGCACGAGATTGACAACAGAAAAAAAAAAAAAAAAACACCATACATATATTGAACCCCAACAACGGGAAAAAAAGAAGAAGCCAAAAACGAGATTCGCAGTTTAACGGCCACGAGTCGGTTCTCTGCGGTCCCGAACGCACTTCCTACGAAAAATCCGACTCATCCCGACCGCCCGGTCCAGGCCGGTCATGCCGAAGCGGGGGAAGTCCGGCCAGAAGGTCACCTTGGTGTACTCCTTGCTGGTGCAGTCCTCGACTTTGGCGCTTTGCGCTCCGCGAACTCGATTCGACGCCGATTTTGAGACAGGAGAAATACCGTGGATGGTTGCGAAATCCGCTTCTGGCACCACTCTCAGGTGATGCGAAATGGATCTCGTCCATCCACAGTATGTCTTCAGATTGGGAGGACCCCCAGCATTCTCCGAAAGGAGATTCCTCCAAGCGAGGTCTTGTGGCCCATGTTCAGAGTTTCCCTTGCACCATGGAAGTGAACAGCACGAGCAAGTTAAAACGAACTCATTCCCGACTCATGTTGGAGTATTCAACCTGGTGGATTGTTAGGGGTGTGTCTGAATGCGAAGGATGAGCCTCTGGGCCCCCCCCCCCCCCCGAACCAGGGGGTCCAATGACCTCTTTGGATTGGCTCGAAGGCGCACATCTCCATACCCACTGGGGGACGGGCTGTGACCACCGGCGCGTTCTTGTGGTTCATGTTCCGCTCGAAGACCTCGACTTGGCGTGGAATCGGACTTCATGGATTCGAAACGCCTGGTGTTGACATCATCTTAGGATTTCTTCATGCCGGTACTTGTCAGGGCTCCTTTGGATGATTTTTTCATAGGTCGACGAGACAGACTTTGGAGATATCCAGACTCACATCTCCCATGTCACGGGCCACGGGTCTTTCAAATCCATTTCACGAAATGAATCAATGGTTGAAGCCATACTGTTTGCTGGCATATGCTGGGGAATTGAATCAAACACCAGGGCTTCTGAAAGGCGGTGCCTAAGAGGATTTTGTCCCAAATATCGCCCCAGGAAACTTCTGTCTTAAGATGTGTTTTTCCAGCCGAAACAAATGTAGGACACCTCTACCTCTGCCCCCAGAAGAAACTTGCACATTGATTGGTTCTGGGACATATGTCTTCTTTTGTGGGGCAACCCCCTCTTCTTAGTTGTTTTAAAGGGACACCAAAAGGAACCGCCACCAAAACCCTTAACACACACAACATATTAATATATATAATATAACACACACAAAGTCCATTTAGAGAAGCTGTTCAAAGGAGATCCCCACGCCGTCACTCGGCCCCACTGGCTTTCGAGGGATCGATGAGGCACTCGAAGATCAGACGTAAGGACCCAAACAAGGACCTTACGATGCTGAGGTCCAGCGGAGAGCTTAGAATACGGGTACCCAATTCTTTTTCTGTTGTATGTTTCAGTAGGGGAACCCTCCCAATTAACATAGGGGAGAGAAGGGCACTGGGGGACCTAGTTATCCCCGTGACCCCCAAACAAAGAGTCGGCGCACCCTCAAGAAGCGAGGTTGGAAACCCCACCCTTTTCCCCAAACAACAACCATAAGCAGGACCATAGGGTTGGACTGTGCCTGGGTGAACTTCTTCTTGCTGCTCTTGTCCACCGTCTCAATGATGAACTTCTTGGAGAAAACATTTGTGAGCTTCGCTCCGTACCTCTCGCGAGCCGGTCGCGAGAGGTCCTTTCACTTCACTATGAGGAAAGATGTTATGTCCTCCAGTACAAAGGTTAGAATAAGGGTACCAACATTTTCTGTAGTCTATTTTATTAGGGGAACCCTCCCCCCAAAAAAAGTGAAAGAAGGGCACAAATGGGGGACCTAGGGACTTGCCCTTAACTCCAAAGCTGGGGCTTAAGGACATCTCACTGGGCTCGGGAGCATATCGTGCTGATATTTTACGCCTCAAACTGTCAAAGGATTCAACGCCGAGCCCCGGCCTTCTGAATTCAATTGATAGCCCTTTGGCAATCCCCCCCCCCAAGGGCTTCACTTCTTGACTAGTTACACCAAGGTAGATTTAAACCCAGGGGTTCTCCTTTTTTTGGTAATGAACCACCCCTGGGTTTAAGTCTAGCCTGGGGCAGTCAAAAGTGGAAACCTGCCCCCTTCATGCGGTTTGGTCGCAAACCAAAACCTCTGCTTGCAATTTGTCCGTCCTGCCATGTTGCCTTACTGTCGTCACTCGGAGGAGAGGATTTGGCAGTCAGGCATGTTCAACCCATACGTACACATTGTTCATCGATTCATATCTATAACCTCTGGCATCCCTTGTTAAAGCATGAGTCTGGCAAGAACTGTTTACCCTGAACCCCCAGTGGCCATGGGAAAAAAGCGCACTCTTTCTTGAAGTAGATGATTTTAAAGGGAAAGTCCAAAGGGCAACGGAGGTCGAACAGGCTACAGGTGCTTGAAGCAAGGTGGTCCAACGGTTCAGTTTCACTGGTCGAACTTCCTTCGATCTCAGTCACGCCCTCGCACTTCGACAAGCATATTTTTCCAGTAAGAACAACAACCACAACAACAACAAAAAACAGAGGTCCCCCTGCTTTCTTCTTTAGGACACCTGTAAAAACAGGCCCCTTTGTTTACGAAACACAGGGGTCGCTGGATTGCCAAAAGAAAAACACCAAACAAATCCGGCGCCGTGGCTCTCGAAAGGAGCGAGCAAAATTCGCTTGCCAAGGCGCCCGTTGCGTCCACCCGTCACCTTCTTCTCATTGTCATCCTGGTCCGCCGGTGGGTTCTATCCCGAGATGGTGTTCTTAAGAGACAAGGGGAGCTTGGGAGGGATTGATGGCTTAACGCCGCGTAGTGTCCACAAGCGAGATGGCCTTTTGGAGGAGATCACAGATAAACGAGAACAAACCGTAAAGCGATGGACTCCATGAATCCATTTTCAACCAAGGACAGCCTTCCGGGTTTGAGCCCGTGTTTATTTGGAGGGCACCTGTTCTTGGGGGCTTTAAAGGGAAACGACGGGAAACCACCATGCTGAACCCGAGGCCGCGGCATAGTTGTCGCTGGTGAGCAAATGGCCGAAGATCAACTCGGGCACATAGCACCTGAGGTCTTAGAGGCCGGGTGGTTCGCAGAGGCTTGTGGGGGTGCCCATAAAAGGGGGGCGGGAGGGTTCCCTTTGGTCGTTGTTTTTTGGGACACACACCCTCACGAAAGAGGATCACGCACCTCTGTCGCAGAAATCAACTTTGCCAACGGTAGAGAAGTGGCTATTTCTCTTTCTACTGCAAGTAGCATAAGTTTTCTGTGACGGAACTTGGTTTGAACAAAACCCCTACAAACCCCTTTCTATTGCTAGGGCCAATGCGATGGCCCTCCGATCCGCTCAAAGTGACTCACTTTTCGTGGGTGAAATGGACACCGCGAAAGAACCCAAGTGGAAGAACCAGCTGCCTGGGGATCCCCTGCGCATGAAATGGAAACCGCCTAAAGCCCAGAAACCCCCGGCTAAACGTGAATTAATCACCTTTAGTAGAAACCGCAAAAAAGCCACCCAAGTGCCAACAAAAAACCGCTACGCCTGGGTCTCGAACTGTCGCTCGTTTCGAGACCCCGGCTTGTGCTCCTTGTGGATCTGCACAGGGATGCCCTGGCCGTTATTCAGCACCTCAGGTCGCGAATGGATGGCGACGGCTTCAGAAAAGGCAAACAGCTCTGTTTTTTTACACGCATACATACATATTGTTGTCCCCCCAATTCTTTGGGCCCCATTGTATGTCATATCTATTATGTATCCCCCCCCCCCCCTCCAACTCTTTAAATTCTGAAACCGTTTCTGGGCCACCGCGTTTCAGAATATATTCCTCCCCAGTGATTTGGGACATCCGATCATCTGAATATCCCGGGCCGCGTGTTCTGCGGGCCTTATGCCCTCGGCTCCCGGGCGGAGATGCAGTTCAGCTGACGGTCGATGTTCACTTCGATGAGATCCATCTGCGCACGGCTCGCGGGCACAGCACCCCCACAAGCGGTGGCTTCCTCTTGGCACCCCTGTAAACACTACTGCCCAGGGGAGAATCATTTGCTGATTTCCTTAGTTTCCCTCGAACGTTCACTCATTTGCTGCTGAATTGTGGCCAAGTCATCCCCAAAAGCTCGATTGATTCTCATTCCGTAAGCGAGCCAAAGGAAACCCATGAAGAAACTGTCAAAGAGTTGGCATCCCAATCTACCAAAAGAGTTTGTTCAAAAAGGCATCCCGTTTTGTTCAAGCCGTGTTTAGACTACAAGTGAAGAACCCCTCCTTTCAAGGGATCCCCTGGTTTAAAACAAAAAGGGAAAGTGACAAAAGGCCAAATTCACCTGGTTCGAGTCGCCTGACGCCGGGGTCTCTGAGGACGGGTGGTGGTGTCTGACCCGGTTTTCCTTGCTGAAAACGAAAAGGCCATATCATGCCATTCGGGGTTTCCACATAATTGGAGCCCAACACCACCTGAGATCCGCTCAGCTGGTTGGAGCTTCCCTTGGCAGAGGAGATCTCACGTGTTCAATGTTGTACATGCCTGGCTTGGGCGGTCTTCGACCCCGTCGCACAAATCGAAGACTCGTTGCAAACATCGTCAGGGAATTGTTGATCAAGCTGGAAACACAAAGTGGCATCTGTCAAACAGGGTTCCATGTGTTGATTCTCCCAAGGACTTTCACCAACGGACTGAACAACCCTTTCAAAGGATCAACAACCCCGGTGAAGCAGTCAGGAACTCCGCGGGCCGGATTCGGACGCGCAGATTGGTAAGAAGAAGCTTGGCTTGGTCTTGCTTTGCAGGGCGCCCATCACTTTTGCCTGCAACACACGTACCCGAAACAATTTGGCGGTCTGCCTAAGGAAACACTTCGGACCAGGATGCCATCACAAAAAAGGCCGGCCACTCCGCCCAACAGCATTCCAAAACGAGCACTACTCGCCTAGGTCCTGCAGTAGAGAGGTTAGAATTAGGGTACCAACTTTTTTCTGTAGCCTATTTTAGTAGGGGAACCCTCCCAACCAAAAAAGGGTTTTTAGGGGAACCCTCCGACTCCCCACCAAAAAATGGCTTTTTAGAAAAACTTTCCCAACCCAAAAAGGGTTTTTAGGGGAACCCTCCCCACCCAAAAATGGCTTTTTGGAAAAACTTTCCCAACCAAAAAAAGGATTTTAGGGGAACCCTCCCAACCAAAAAAGGGTCTTTAGGGGAACCCTCCCAACCAAAA